CTTTATTTCTTATTTTACTAATCTCCCCACAACACTCAAACTCACACAGTGCTGTGGTGCATAAGTTCAAAACTCGCAGTTTGATGTCTTTGTTTTAGTTGTTTTTTCTTGATCAGTTCTGTTGGTTTTGCCTTTTGATGTTCTCAGTAGTCTCAACATTATGTTGAACACTCACCTGTCTCCTGTTGGTAATCACCTGTTTGTACTCCATAATCACTCCTTTCTGTACTCTTACTCACTGGTTTTTCTCTGCTTTTGGTCAAATCTTCCTGTTTATGTCATTTTATGTTGCATTTGGAATTTCTGTCTGTTTAGTTATTCACGTTTTTTTTCCTGTCTCCTGTGGTTTAGTCTTACCTGCAAAAAATACYAGTTGTGAGAAAAACAGCTGCTCTYGGTACCTTCTAGAGTAACATGAAGCTTCCACAGTCATGCTTCAGCCTTRTTTATATAGTGATGTCATCTTTAATTATTTGTCAGGCTTGGAGTCAAAACTGTTTTGWGTCCCTGAGGTGCAAAACAACACTGGACAAAAGATAACAAATTCAACAACGCTCCTGGCTTAATTAATTTTAATAAACTTCCTCTTTCTTTCCCATGGCCCTTGTTATGGAAAAAAAAGCTTCACAGTAAAGCAAAAAACAATCATGTCCAGTTCAGTCCTAAGAACATCAATCCCCCTTTAAATGTGTAGCTCTCAAAGAAACAAGGCTATACAGTAAGGCTGTTTTTCTTCCATTAGATATTACGTTAGAGTGTGACAACTGTAATGTTTTAAGTGTTAAGATGTACTAAAACAACACAGTTTTGAGTATTAAAACTAGCTCTTTTAAAATTTACTTTATTGACAAGCTCAGTTCTGTTGAAATTCACCAAGATTCACTTAAAATATATATATTTTCTAGGTAATGTACATTAAAATTCTCATTTAGTGAAAGCCATGCTAGTTTTCCTAACTCACCATATTGTCCTTTCAGGCTATTTGGCAGCAGAGTGACACCTTGGTGCCAGACGTGGGAATGATCAAAAAAAAAAGCTGCACCAGCTAATCTGAATGCACTAAAACTGTAAATATGGGAAAAGCTGCACAGCTTGAAAAAAAAGTAAAAACTTAAAAGGAATTACTGGAAATGCAGCAACACTTAGAAAGAATTACTGGTAAAGTGCTCTATCTTAACTTAACGACCTGAAAGTGGTCACTGCTTTTGTGTTAGTGTTCATATTGTGCACTTCCTCCATTATGGTGAGGCAAATCACTGCTCTCCTTGAGTTTGGTTCTGTTGGTTTTCTTCCAGGTAAACAAATAAAGTAAAAAAAAAAAACAAATCTATCCACTTT